GTATCGGAGCCTAAATAAGCTCAAACAAACATCCGATCCAAAAAAATAAAAGAGATCTATCAAAATTGATGAACCAAAAGAGCCACGATCTTGAGGGGGCTGTTGGGAGTAGATGAGTGCATGACTATTCGAGGCAAGATACAAGTGACACTTTGTTCGAGGGGAGGATTTTTAGGTTTGTAAGGGTTGCAAACAAAGTCTCACATTGGTTAGGAAAATGGGTGACCCATGGTATATAAGGGAGGACAATTACTCCATTGGTATGGGGCCTTTTGGGTGAAACTTGGACAATATCATGCCATTGTGGAGATAATATTGTTTAATGATAAATGCTCATTTTGATCTTCGTTTCTCGAACCCACATTAAATTTCCAATAAAAAAAGGGGTATATAATATGATTGATAATGATTTAACTGATGAAAAGTTTGATATATCTTTGGACCTATGAAGATTTTTCTTTTTCATTCAAATAAGGGGGTAGAAATTCAAAACTACAACTCTAAAGAAAAGTTATCTTAAAATAGTTAATTTAATTTAATAAAATGGCATGGTGGAAACAGATGGATGAAAAATGCTCATACAGTAGCTAAAGTAAAATAAAATAAAAGGAAAACCATTTCCATTTTCCTCCATTATATATGTTTATATTTCTCTATTTGCAACCCGAAATTGCAGACAGATCAATACAGAAGAAGCTTCGTGACAAGTGAAAAGTTCAGTTTTCTAGATATGACGACTTTTTGGAAACCCTCACAAGAAAATAACACACCACATACTTCTCCACAGCCAGAATATTGGAATTTTGCTACCATTTTGTTAAAACGCCACGCGTATAAGATAGTACATGAATTATAAATGGTGGGGGGCCAACTTTTGCTTCGTATCAATATTGAAATTAAAGACATTATTACATTAGAAATACATTTTCTAAGACAATAAATGTGAGGATGTAAGAGTTTAAAACTATCCATCTCGATTGATGGAGAGGTTTTCATAAAGGTATATATTTTTTATTTATTAATTTGAACCATATACATATTGAATTTTCTCATGTAACCATATAGACGACATAGTAAATTTTAAGAGAGTGATATGTAATTTAATTACGTGAGACAAAATAAATTTATATAACTAGTCTATTCTAAGCAAGGCTACTGTGGAAATTTTTTTTCCATGTCCACACTTTGAGTTCACTCTACCAAGTACCAATTCACACGGTCAATTTTGTTTTTTAAGGAATTCACATTAATCAATTAGTGTTGTAACAGTGATTGTTTTTATTGGATTGTTGAAATATCTCTGAATTGTCCTTTCTCTCACAAAACTTTAATATAAAATCCAAATTATACCTACCAACTCTAGCATAGTTTGAGATATTATATACCAATTTAAGCATCGTGGATAAGATTTCAAATAATTTCTTTGGAATTGAAGAACCAATCCACCCCTCTCCATATATGTTTTACTTGAAGATAAAGTTCGTACCCACACCTGTAATTGAAAGGCTTAGAGCACTAGAGAGCAAAAGTCACATTTTACAGGCTGAATTTGATGTGATAAAATAATTAAGATCGATCATAAACAATGAGATAGAAGACTTGATAAAAATTGAGAACTTCATTGGAGAGATATGTGTTCTAGCCTAAGCCGAAAAGCTACATTCTCCAACATCGAAAGAAGGCGAAACATTATCGATAGCCACCTTGTGAAAACAGCACCGACCTAGGGAACTCTCAAACGTGGAGGTACGAAGACAATCTTCTTTCTTTGGCTTCAAAACTTAGTTAGAGAGGAGCTATCTTAATTTAATGATTTAGTTTTTGTTATTTTCCTAAGAAATCCAATAATCAATAATATTTAGAAGGTCTCGGAATAAAACCGAAATTGAAAATATGGTTCAGTTTCCATTTTTTAATAGATAATGGGCCTGGCCCTGATCATCTAAATGGGTTGGACCCAATGGAGGTCTCCTCGTGAGCGAATATTAGGATTGTATTTATAATAAATAAAATTTATAAAGAAATACTGAAAAATAAAATAATTATACAAACAGTACTTCAAGTTTATTCTTATTCATTTTCTGGACAACTTACATTTTTTAAAAACTCAGGCAACTTTTGGACATTTTTTATACTAATTTTATAATATTAATTATATTGATTTGACATTAAAAAATTAACGTTAATATGTTTTTAACACGATGATTTGAGAATTAATAATTTTTAAAGATATGATACGAGCCATTTTTTCTTCTCTCTCTTATGTGTTTTACCCTTTCCCATGCTGTTAAGACACTAAAGAGGGAAAAAAAGATGAAGTAATTCTTTATAGGGAAGATGATTCTTATTTAATAATATTGGACTTAAGGCTCCTTAACGGTAAGTAGCACTTTATCTTCACCATCATTAAATATTTGACAACTGAAAAAGAGAAACGTAAAAACAGAATTTAAAAAAAAATAATAATGAATTTTCAAAATTTCAATGGTGGTGAGGACCGAGACTAAAGAGCCAAGTATTTTCCATAATACTGTGAACAATACGGTAAAATATAGCGGGTTAACTGTGAACTGATATACGAATTTTCAAAATATCATTAATAAAGTTAGTATGAGGCTTAGTAATTGGTCAGCTAAAACTTTGTCCTTTCCTTTGCTGGTCGTGCTACTCTGATTCAATCGGTTATCCAAGCCATGCCTACATATAATATGCATATTTTTAGGTTCCCAGTTGCGGTCTGCAAAAAATTAGATCAACTATGTCGGAATTTCCTATGGGGACACGTAAATTCTCACGGAAGGATTCACCTAATAAATTGGAATATAGTCACGCGTAGGAAGTATGAGGGAGGTCTAGGTCTTCATAAATTTAGAGAGTTCAATACGGCTCTTTTAGGAAAAATAGCTTGGGGGTTGATAAATAGGCCAAATGATTTATGGGCACAGGTACTCATTAACAAGTATAAGGGCCGTTGGAAAGAAGATTGGAAACTATCAGTGAAGCAGGGCGATCCTTGGCTTTGGAACGCCATAACTGGGGCTTGGAATGAAATTAGTCAATGGATGGGATGGGGAATAGGGAATGGTTGTCACATCAAGTTCTGGCAGGATCGCTGGATCTTTGGGAAAAGTCTTTGTAAGGATCTTGGAGTGGGTAGTATTCCAGAAGTTGAGCTAAATCGACCGCTAAGAGATTTCATTCTAGAATCAGGGAATTGGAATTGGTCTGCCTTTGAAGGCAAAATTAATCTGTCGGTGTTGTTATCTATAGCTAGCATTAAACCACCTGAGGGCTCTTCTAATGTCTCTGATTTTCCAGTTTGGTTGGGGTCAAAAAATGGTGATTATTCTGTCTCGGTTACATACTTCCACCTAACGTCTATTCACTCTGTAGAGCTTGACATGAGAATTTGGAAAGCCATATCCTAATTGAATCAGATTCTTCCTCTGGTTGGTCGGCCATGAATGCCTTTTAACCAACCAGGAGAGGAGTAGAAGACATATAGGGTCGAATGATAATTGCTATCTGTGTACTAATGAAATTGAATCCATCATACATGTCCTCCGTGATTGTACATATGCTAGGTAGCTATGGGTAGCCATAGTTCCTGAAAATTTTACTGATATCTTCTTTAATTGTGGTTTGCAGCTCTGGTTGGGGATTAATTTGATAAGTCCACCATCGGCATACTGGCCCTCTCTGTTCGCGGTTGGCTGTTGGCTTCTTTGGAAATGGAGAAATAAAGCGCTATTCCAGAATAATTTTGTTAAACCAGATGATCCTTCCATTATTGTAAGAAGAACAGCTGATAGTTTTATACAATCGTGGAAACAAGCAGCGCCATTGTCAAGGAAACCTGCCCGGTGTTGGGTGAATATATGTTGGATCCCGCCTCCTATCAATTTTTGGAAATTAAACACAGATGGGTCATCCCATGGAAACCCAGGTGTGGCAGGGGCTGGAGGTATTTTACGAAACTGAAATGGTAGTTGGATAAAAGGTTTTCAACAAAATATTGGAAGTACAACGGCTTTGATAGCAGAATTATGGGGAATTCTAACTGGGTTAGAACTTGCTTGGGAGTTGGGTTGCAGGGTCCTAGAAGTGGAAACTGATTCGGCAGCTGCTTGGAGTTTGGTACAAAATTGCCCACAATCAAATGCTATTATTCAACCGCTCCTGAGGAAAATTTCACAACTGATGGGCAGGGACTGGACTATATCGATTAAGCATATTTATAGGGAAGCAAATGGCTGTGCAGATTGGTTAGCAAATAAAGCTTGCAGTCTTCCTCTAGGTGTTCACATTTGTGAAGATCCTCCTAGAGGACTTTATCCTTTACTGCTTCTAGATTCATCAGGGGCCACCATACCCCGTCTTGCTGTTCTGTAGTTTTTGGGCATTTGCCCCGTTGCTTTCCGAAAAAAAAAAAAAAAAAACTATTAACTGATATAAGATATATTAGAAAACAAACTAATACAACTATCAGTAACTAATAAAAAAACTAAATAAATGTAGGGATGAATTTGAACCTCTAATTCTTAAAGAAAGAAAGAAATATCTTAATTCTTGATTGATAGTAGTCTCTTTAATTGAGTGAATAAAATGATTTGTATACAAAACTATGAACTCCATTGTTATTTTATTTATTTTTTGTTGAAGAGATGAACTCCATACATATAGAAAGATGAAATAATGCTGAGTTTGAAAAACAAAACCGGAATTTTAACAAGTTTAGAACCAATGGCCTCAAACTCAGCATTAATTCATCATTCTGTATGTATGGAGGGCTTGTCGACCCAAGTATTCCATTTCATTTGCCACATCACAATCTCTCAACTCCACTTTATAATAATAACATCATTAATCATAAAACAACCACCTTATCTACCCTTTTCAATCAAATTTATTGATCAGAGGTGATGAAACGAAGTTATTATTCAGAATAGAATCAATGTCATTGAATTAATATAGCAAACAACTGTCAAATCAGAGCCAAGCCAATCGATCCACAACTACAACCACAACTACAACTACACGGATCGGTCCAAAACGACGAGTTTGGAGGACAGCCAGAGAGGGACATTGCAGGCAAGCCAAACGAGTAAACCTCGTAAACAGTTAATTTGCAAACTGTCTTCTGTCACAAGTCCTAGTAATTGTAGAAAGGAGTTTACTTTTCCTGCCGCCTCTTTCACTAAAAAACACCCCCTACCGTACCATAATAATTCACAAACTTCGAAACCTCAGTCTTTGTTCGTACGTTCAACTTCAAATCCCGACACAAAACACATACAAAACAACACTTTCGTCGCTTGATTTTGATTTGGAGAAAACAATGAAACACGTTCCCAGGAACAAGCTTTTGCTCTGTTTCCGACCCGGCGTTGACACGGAAGCCGTCCTCCACCCCAAAAATCTTGTCCATTCCTCTGCTGCTGCAACTTTGGCGGCCTATTTGGATTTGGAATACCACGAAATCACCACTTCTGAAACAACCCCATCGTGCCCAGATTGTCGCTGCACCCGAAATTCCGGCCGCCACAGCTCCACCATTTCCCTCCCGCCAAAGCAAACTCTTTCTCGGACGGTCAGAGCCGTCATGTTTGGTACCATTCTGGTCAGTATTGAATTTTGCTGTCGTTTAGTTATTTTCGACGTTTCCGATGTAATTCCCTTCCTTTTTAATTACCCAATACTCGATTATCTTGTTCTGTTTTAGATCAAAAGAGTCCGTCAGAGAAAAGGCAACCATCAGCAGAAATCTAGTCGACCGAAGCGAAGTGTCTCGCTGGATTCTGGAATTGTCCCCACAAAAGAAGATGAAATGAATTCTCTTCCATCGGGGTCATCTTCAAGTTTTCCAATTACAATACCGAAACCCATAATTTCTTCGTCTCCCACATCGGCAGTCCCTAAAACGAGTAAAAAGAGCGTGAGGCGGATAAACGACGACCAGAGTTGCTACGTGTTCAAATCCGGCGTTGGGTTGCTTGTGGTAAGCCTGGCTGCAGTGACAGTGATGGAGGGCAGAGTATTTGCTATTTTAATCACATCAATCTGGGTCTACTTATTTGCTTGGATGCATATGAAGGATCAGGATCGCTGCCTGAAGTTGAACAACACGAAGAAAGCAACAAAATTTCCAGAAACAGAGGTTACGGGCAAAAGGAGGAGTGGCTGTCACAATCGGAGCGCTCATGATGGAAAGAAAGAAAAAGTAGAGAAGGCATTAAATCTTTGACGTGCAAAAATCTCTATTACTGAAGCACTCCCTTTTCTGTTCCTTTGCTTCTGTTACATTTCCTTTTACCCAACAAGAAAAAAGGTCGTGTTTTTCTTTTAGTTTCACTAATGCTTTTGGAAGCCTTGAAGGTGTGTAATTATAAGGTAGGTATTTATGTAATCTTGAAGTTAATCAATCAGTTGGCTTGTGGTGTGGAAACCCAATTGTAATGTTGTAATCTTCGGCCAAGAATAGAGAAACAAAGCAACAATTGGTTTACTTTAATTTGCAATACACATAAACAAAACGTGCCTAAAAAGAACAAAAAGTCCGTAGGAAACTAAATTGGCAAACTCTTGGGTCAGTTCAGAATCTAGGCTACGACCCAATTAAGTCCCAGGCCGAGTTTGCTCTTGTTTGGGTTTATTGGAGGCCCATATTTGAAGCTCTTCGCAAACAGAGAGCGATCAGCGAGCTTTCCACAGTTCGAAGCCGGTGGATGCAACGATGGCTACCAAGCTGCTTCCACTGCGGAAGCTGTCAAGGATACTGAAGGTGCCGTCTTCTTCTTCTTATTCTTCTCCCTGTTTCAGGAGATATTCGTATCTTCTAGAAGCTTCAAGACCTCTCCTCGGTATCTCCGATAATGTTCATCAATTTCATCCTCCGTCTTTTTCTCGAAGCTTTTGCTCCCGCCCCTTGGATTTCGTCGACGATGATTCTCGAGGTCCTGCCTCCATAGATTATAGGTAATTTGTTCCTTTTCTCTCCTTGACACTGTGTATTTGAATCGAAATTTTGAAGAAGAAACGGAAGTTTGTATGTTCCACCCCCTTCCACCAAATTTTTGTAACTTTTATGCCTTTTCGTTTTGATAATTGTTTTAGGTCTACTTGATTTGCGAATTTTTGGTCCATTGTCTGCAATTGTGTTCTCTTGCTGATTTTTAACGAAACAAAAAAGGGCTTCGTGTTGCTTCAACAAAGTGTTGTGGATGTCTTCGTGCCTCTAGCTTGCTTATTGAATTCACTACCTTCAATTCAATTGCCCTTCACTGAACAAATTATAATTGCTGTTGATGGGGTTTTCTTTGAGCGTAGCGTCGATACAATACAATAGTTGAATGCATTTGGTAGAGAGGAGCTCTAGTGATCTTGGCTAATGTTTGCTGCAGTTCACTGATGCAGGAGGGAGATTTTCATAGACTAGCTGATTCCACAATACATGGACTGCAGGAGAAATTAGAGGTAGTTTCGTAACATTGAAGTCACATCTTTTTGCTCTTGAATTTATCTTATAAACTAAAAGCCAGTAAAAGCTTATATTCTTCATATACATATTTGGGAATTGCCATTAAAATTTTGTTAAACTTTATTTCATTACTTGCAGGAGTATGGCGATGACCTCCAAATTGATGGCTTTGACGTGGACTACGGGGTAAGAGAATGATTAGGCCGTTCTAAAATATGTAAGCTTCATTTCATAGGAATAAATGATATTTAGTTTTATCCAATCTTTCTTATGCAGAACGAGGTACTGACCTTAAAGCTCGGCGATCTTGGAACTTATGTCTTGAACAAACAAACGCCAAATAGACAAATTTGGCTTTCATCCCCTGTGAGGTATGAATATGCTTCCCGGATGACTCGATTTCCAGTTGATTGATTAGAATCTATAATATGTGTCCTTTCTATCTGTTTAAAAGATCATTTCAGACCTTGTCCCTGTCTTCATTTCATGACAAAGTTTAGCGGTCGTTTTGGTGAAAAATGGAATTTGTTCTGTCGATATAACATTTACCCATCTATAATAAGGGCATGCCTCATATCCTTTAGATGTCTTCAACTTCAATTAACGCAGAAAGAATGAATGAGGTTTAACTTGAATTTGGTCCTGAGAAACGAGGAACTCAAATAAAGAGGCTGGTAATTCCTATTTTGAGGCATTATACACAACTTTGTGACAACCCAGGTTTTGTTCCTTCTCTGCAGCGGTCCATCCAGGTTTGATTGGGATCAGAACTCTCAGGCTTGGATTTATAGGCGGAACAAAGCAAACCTGTTGAGACTTTTAGAAACTGAATTGGCGGAGCTGTGTGGTGAGCCAATTGGTCTTTCTTGAGCCTTTTCAAATAACATGGACATGGTTTGGTTATTCTGAGGCATTTGTGACACATTTATGAAGCCCACTTTTTCTCGTTTTAATCTTTCTTCTCGTTGCATATTATGTTCTAATTTCAAGTGTTTCAAGTATCAGTCCTTGGTAATGTTGGTGACAAGGTAGTACTTTACTAACGCGTAACACCCAATGGTTTCTCGTAGTACCAATACATACGTATATTTGAAAGTATTACAACAGGAAGAATTCCTCTCCTTCCAAGCATGTGAAAGGAGGGATCACAACCAATTTCTTAGCTCTGAATCAATTTCGCGTCTCAGCCGTTTGTTTGGTGGGAATCCAAGATTTTTGTGAGACGGACATCTAGATTCCCACGTTTGTTTTGCAGTATTTTGGTATCTCGAGATGTCCGGGTATGCTAGGATGCTCATACGGGAGGTATCTTACAAGTTTTGGATGTCCTTTTGAAACACGGGTTTCTAAGATTCCAAGGGCATCCACTTTTACATTTTTGCCATCTATTTTTTTCTCCATATATTTACTTTCATTAATTTTTTTTTTAATTTTTCCTCAAAAAATTTTCTATTTTTATTTTTAAATTTATAATTAAAATAAATTAATAAACTCATCGTCTAATAAAGAATTTTATGTTATTAAGTATATTTGTACATTATATTTACATGTAAAATAAACTACAATTAGATTATATAATATCTCCATTTATTTTTAATATTTTGAAGGAATTACATTATTAATAATATTTATTATTATAAATATATAATTGTAAAGCTAACATTTTTTTACTGGCAACATACTTGTAACATTTTTCCTCTTAAAAAAAATATAATATGATGATAGGATAAATAAATTTTACCGAAGATAACATAAATTATATAATTGTCTTTTTGAACAACTGTTAAAGTTGAAAATGAAACTTATATTAAATTAATAATGAATTAATTTGTTCTACAAAATAACATATAATAAAATTAAATTAATTCAAATAAATCTATTATATTTGATGAATTTATAAATTATATAAATATTTGTGAGGTCATTTTTGGAACATTCTATAAATTTAATACACTCTTAACCATTGTTATCTAAATATTCTAGGATACCCTTAAAAATATACCTACGAAATAAAAGTGGATCAAGGAATTGCTGAACCAACCGTCTTACCAAAACCCATTCCTTCCTTTTTCCTTTTAACTTCACAAAACGAAAGAAGAAGGCCTGTCTTTCTTGAGCAATATTAGCCCACGTCTCCCAAGAGTTTAGTCATCCGCACGAACTTTCTTTGAGGCATCTTTTGTTTTGTTTTTGTTTTCTGTTTGTTGTTTTTCTATTTTTCAAAATAGAAAAGTGCGACTATGCTTCCAACTTATAGTTTGAAATTTTGAAATAAAAAATTATACATGTTAGAAATTAAAATATCGAATGGTGTTAGAATTCATATAAATGAATTAAATTTATCCAACCCATCAACTTAAGTTTTTGGGTTGAGTGGTGGATTATTCATTCTTAAGTTGGTATCAGAGTGAGAAGTCTTGTGTTCAAAGACTTGCGTTGTTGTTGTTCCTTCCCATTGTATTTTAAGAATAATATTATACATTTTTTTAAAGGGTTTCCAAAATCCAAAATAATAATTTCGTAAATATTTGTATAACGGAAAAAAAAAGTTAAGGGCTTTGGAGAAAAAAAGTTAAGGGCTTGGTTGTATAATATATATATATATATATTTTCTAATTCTTCTTATGGAGATTTCAAGAAATTGGCAAAATTAAATTGGGTTCATTTACAAACCTTTTTGTTTGTTTTTTAATATATAATTTTTAATGAAAATTATAGCTAAAATTTAATAGTAATAAATAATAGTTAAAAAAATGATAACAAAATTTTAAGAGCATTTTAAAATGTAATAACTTAAACAAAAATATATACATATTAATGGAAGAAGTTTAGTTAAAATTATACTTGTTATTGTAGCTTTAGAAACTAATATTTTGTTGATGGTAGCATGACAAAACATTTAGGTGCAATTGGTCTCGTATCAATAAATTGTTTAGGAATAATTATATTTTTAAACTTCAACTACTAAATCACAACATATTAAAGTTTGATATTTTGCTTTGATGGAATTAAATTTTATGTACTAAAGCCTAAAACATTACTACTTTTAATTTATAGGAATTAAATTATTACCCATTATAGTTGAAGATTTGAATAGTTATTTCAATTAAAAAACACGAATTAAATATATTTTTAGTTGGAAACTGTTTTAAGTTTAAAATTAAAAATTACAAAAAAAATAGTCAAAATTTTCTCTTTTGACCGAAAAACAAAATAGTCAATTACAGGGTACATAGTCATTGTTTGACCCGGCCTTTTCAAGGTTTTTTTATTTATTTAAATCTACAATTTCATGGTTGGAAGCATAGTTAATATTGAGTTATGTTTGTTTTAGCTCCAAATTAATCGATAATATAAAAATAAAAGATGGATGAGGTTGACACAATGGATAATCATAGTATTAAATATCCATCAACGTATCCATGTATTCATAGTTCGGCATCAATATAAAGGGTAAATCGACATTCCATAATATTATAAAAAAATCGATAAAATATAAAAAATATTTACAAAAATTCACTAATATAGACCTAATATATTAATTTTAATCATGTTAAACTTATTTAGAAATGGTGAAACGATTATTTATTAATTTAAATATATTTTTTAAGTTTCTTTTTATAACTTTTTTATAAGTATTCATCGCATCGACATTTTATCGATATTTATATCGACATTTTCATAAAATTGAGACATCGACATTTTCATCGACATCAACATTTAAAATATTGGGATAACAAAAAAGAATTAATTATTAATGTGACGAGGTTGACATGATGGGACCTATAACTGTTAATTTGTTATTATGTTTCATTAATCTTAATTTAGTTGTTTCATAATTTATACTATTTTTGTGAGCCTAATTTTGTTTATGCTTTTTAATAAAGAGATTTTTTTAATTCAACCATATTTGTGATGTATACTCGAACAAGTTGAATTATGTTAATGTTAGCTTAAAAAAACTTTATAAAAAAAAATTAAATAAAATAGGATTAACATGTCTCGAAAAAAAAAATTTAAGATTTCAACATCATAAATTAATTTTTTTTGCAAATAAAAATTATTTCAATCAATATTAAAGTATAAAAAAATCAAACTAACAAATTCAATTAATAAAGCGAGAAATAAAATGAGATAAAAAAAATTGCAACACCCACCATAATTTTTCAACTTGACTCATTTTTAACTATCAACATAGTTTATTGTAAAAACATTTATTTGTTACATTAAGGTTGGAAATACAAATCCTCGTAACACATTGATTTTAATAATAGCGCATGAGATCTATAAGGCAAAACTGATAAAATATTTTATAAATTTACTATTTGTTTTTTCATTAGAAAAAATTTACCATCAGTTTGAATATTAAGTATATATAATATGGTAGTAACAACTTTTTCTTTTTTCTTTTTTAATTTTATCTATTTTTTATCTCATCCCTCTCTAATGTTGGGTTATAAAAAAAAAAGATTGCAACTTAGTCAACACAAAGATCTGTCCATTTCAATCTAGCTCAAATATATATATATATACTTTTAATTATATTCAAATTTCCATCCCGATTATTGTACTAAAAATTAAAAAATTTCAAATAATTCTATAAGGTTCTTTTGCTTTTTCCATTGGGACATGAGTTCGTCAACTAGAACACAATGTCTCACGTATCATTACAAGGTATGATATCAATTTATCCGAGATAAAAGGGAGTTATCTCTGCAAATAAAATCTCTTCGGTCTGAAAATATATAATAGCAATAATTTTGATAGGTAAAATAATGAATGTTAAAGGATCTTATATGGGAAGATTAAGATATCGTGTAAATTTAATAGAATATATGGATTATCTCAACTACTAATCTCATTGTTAATTAATGTTGAGATGAATTTTTTTTAAAATTATTAATGAAATAAAAAAAAGAGAGGGAAAGGAGACAATTTTTATCTCAAAGTGTCAGATTTTTAGGGGTGAACATGGGCTAGAGATGAATATTATTCTTTTACAAATAATATTTTTCAAGGTATGGTTGTGATATTAATTGATTTCTTTTGAACAAGTATATGATAGGTATGCGGTGACATTTCTTCGAATAAGATGGATGTTGATGTTGTAAGTTGTTGGTATTATAGTTTCTTTGATATGACAAAACCATTTAAATGCATTGAAATATCAAGCAGAGGAAAAGAGAAGATTATGTCCAAGTAGTCTTCTCTCATGGCAAAGGCAAACAAGGGGTGTCAGTGTCACCAATACCATTCCATGGTCTCTAATTTATGCAATTACTTTTTGCTACTATTATTTCTGTCCGCCGGAGGCACCGCCGTCGATCAATTAAGAGACAGTCATGGGGATTCTGCCGTTTCGATGGGAGGAAGATTTGAAGTTGGTTTTTTCAGTCCTGAGGGAAGCTCAGACGGAAGAAGATACGTGGGAATATGGTTTCGCGGCTCCAAACCGCAAGCCGTTGTATGGGTTGCCAACAGAGATCGGCCATTGTCCGACAACAATGGAATTTTCACCATTAAAGATGGCAACCTCATGGTACTGGACTCAAAGGGCACTTCTTTATGGTCTACCGGCGTCGGAGATTCCACCAACGAGACAAGAACAGCGATCCTAATGGATTCTGGGAACTTGGTTCTCAAGGAATTAGGCGGCAATGGCACAATTGTGTGGCAGAGTTTCCAAAATGCAACCGACACTATACTTCCCGGCATGAACATGGGCCACGACTTGAGGTTGACTTCATGGCGAAGTGCAGACGACCCGTCGCCAGGGAATTTCACGTTTCTCAAGGATCTGGGGAGCCGCTACATAATCGAGCGGCATAGTGCACGGTATTGGGTGAGCAGCGGAGAGTGGCAAAATTACTCCACCGAAACAGAGGGAAAAATTGCTGAAGTAATAGGTTCTTTGTCAAAAATCGATCTTTCTAACTTGAAGGCCTCCAACTATAGCATTCGTTTTCAAGATCAATTGCTGGATTACAACTATACAAGAGCAGTTATGAGTTTCAGCGGGGAAATACAGTACCTTGCTAGGAACAGAATGAGTGGAAAATGGGATGTCATCTGGTCAGAACCGGAAACCAGATGTAGTGTATTGACAGCTTGTGGGAGGTACTCTATTTGTCGGAGTGACAGTATGCATTGCAGGTGCTTGCCAGGGTTTGAGCCAAAGTCGGAGGATAAATGGAATTCTGGTGATTACTCAGATGGGTGCCAGAGAAAATCAGAAATTTGCCTCGGAGAAACGGCTCAAATTCGAGAGTTCTTGACAATAAATTTGAAGGTGAGTAAGACGTCTAATGTTGTCACAGTCGAAGATAATGGGGAGTGTCGAAGCAGGTGCCTTGAATCTTGTAAATGTGAAGCGTATTCAGAAATCAAAAGCAATGAGAGAGCTGATGGTACTGTTTCGTGTGCCATTTGGGAGGTTGAAGATGAACTTAAAAACATTGTGGAATATGCAGATGGTGGTGGTGTCATTAACATCCGTGTCAATCATTCTGACTTTGGTATTTTCCATTTTCAATTCAATTCCCCTGTATATGTTTGTGTTGTCCCTGTTCTGCCTCTTAATTTACTTGATTTTCCTTCAGAGTTTACAAAGTTCGACTGTGAAGCATGTGGAGGCAACATCATCCCTTATCCTCTAAGCCTAATCACAAGATACACCAACTGCGGTACTCCTTTGTATCGTAACTTCACTTGTGACACTTCCAGCGGTCGGATGGGCTTTCTTTGGGAAGGTGTTGACTACAATCTCACATACATCAATCCAGAACAAAATACTTTTACCATTGGAACAAACCAGTCTATCTGCAGAGGTAATGATGCAGAGCAAATTCAAAAGCTTCTGAAATTGGAACAGTCGTCTATATACCAAGTCATCAGCGGTTGTGACTCTGAGTTCAATGAAGTTGATGTTCAATGGAAGAAACCATTAGAGCCAATCTGTAATTCACCAGAAGATTGCAGCTACTGGCCGAATTCGAAATGCAACTCATCAACAGATGGAACAAACAGGTGCTTGTGCAATCCTTCTTTCGAGTGGATTGGCACTGGCTGCCGTAAAGGGACAGGTAACTTAATGCATTTTAGAAAAAACAATGATTTTGATCTAATTAAGAGACATTGTGTCCAGTCCATGATTATTGTGATTAATGTACTTGTAGAGAATGGTTGGAAAGAGCCACGTCCAAATGTCAGAGTTGTTATCATTGTCACAGTGACTACCATTGTCGTCTTGATTGTTATTTCTTGTTTGGTGTTGTATATTTACTACAAACGAAGGAAGCTACAAAATCAACAAGGTAAAAACTTTTCCCTTCATTCTTTCAAAGGTTTGATTTTGATGCGAGTAGTATTGGGTCATCATCCACTGTCTGATTCGTTTTCTAAAATACTAGAGAAAAGAGCAAGTTTTTGGCGAAATCAGGAAACTCACTTGTATGACACTGAGAAACGTGTGAGAGACTTTATGGGTTCCGGAATGTTTGGAGAAGATGATAGAAAAGCCATAGAAGTGCCAGTTTTTGATTTGGAAACCATACTCAGTGCTACAGACAACTTCTCTGAAGCTAACAAAATTGGGAGAGGGGGATTTGGGACAGTTTACAAGGTATATGCGCATCCTTTATCAAAAAACGTTTTCAGCGGCTAATTCAGTTGTTTGTGTGTCAGGGAAATTTTCCAGGACTGGAAACTGCAATAAAGAGGCTGTCCAGAGGCTCTGCCCAGGGCGTAGATGAGTTCAAGAATGAGGCCATTCTGATCGCCAAACTTCAGCATCGAAATCTCGTTAGACTTTTGGGCTATTGTGTTGCGGGAGAAGAAAAAATACTGGTCTATGAATATATGCCCAACAAAAGCTTAGACTTTTTTTTATTTGGCAAGTCTCTGCCTCTCTACCTTACCTCTAATTAAAGTTTAAAGTTTTGATCTTGATATACAAGAATCTTCTTCTGTTTTGGTAGATCGAACACAATGTTTACTGGTGAGTTGGGAAATGCGGTTTAATATCATAGTGGGAATCGCCAGAGGGCTGGTTTATCTCCATGAAGATTCAAGGTTGAGGATTATCCATAGGGATATGAAAACAAGCAATGTTCTGTTAGACGCAGAAATGAATCCTAAAATTTCCGACTTTGGTTTGGCAAGAATCTTTGATGGCAAACAAACTGAGGCAACCACCACTAGAGTTGTTGGAACTTAGTAAATTTCCCTCCACCAATGCAATTCATTTCTGTCCTTCGTAGTCCCGTTGGAATTGTTATTTAAGTTAAGTGTTCTCTTTTTCTGCAGTGGGTACATGTCACCAGAATATGCGTTGGACGGATCATTCTCCATCAAATCTGATGTGTTCAGCTTTGGTATAGTTGTACTTGAGATCGTGAGTGGAAGAAGAAACACTGGTTTTTACCAGTCAAAAGAAGCCTTGAACCTTCTTGGACACGTGAGAATTTACTTTGAATTCAATGGTTAAAATCTTGAGGTTTTTGAGTGTTTTTAAAGTTTGGGAGATGGCGTGCGCAGGTATGGAAATTGTGGAGAGACAAGGAAGCATTAGACATAACAGAGGCGGGTGTTCGTGAAAGGTGCAATCCAAGTGAAGTTATAAAGTGTGTGGCTGTGGGGCTGCTGTGTGTTCAAGAAGATCCCAACGATCGTCCCACCATGTCGAGTGTAGCTTTTATGCTCAGCTCTGGCACCGACCCTGCTTCTCTTCCAAATCCTAAACAGCCAGCTTTCGTTGATAAAAAATTAACTCCTACTTCTTCTGCAACTTCTTCTTCGGGCTTTAAGCAAGAAATAGTAAGCAACGATTTTAGCTTACTTGAGCCTCGTTAAATTCCAGATTTCATTTCCTGTAATTGTTCTCCACCTAGATAACTTCACCCAAAGATATATTGTAAGTTTGTAATTTATCAATTCAATAGCACCAAAATATTTTCCCCTCCCACCTAATAATAAGTTTCCATTTTGGATTTCACCATTCTTTTCCAGTCAAACAAATGTGAGGTCCGATGATTTAGATCTCCAACTTTAATGGGAAGGAAGGTATCTCGTTACCATGGAGAGATGAAATCTTTTCTACTTCAAGACCAAGTATAAAAGAAAAAAGAAAGAAAACAAGTAAAGTATAAATAAATTTTGGATTTTTTTTTGTATTTATTATAATTTTAAATTTTAAATTAAAATAAATTTTAGAACTTTCAAATGTTATAATCCATTCTTTTTCCATCCTTAATCAGAGTCTTTGCTTGTTGGATTTGTAAGGTGAATACAAATAAAGTCGTAAGTTAGTTAGGGAAGAACATGATCTATAACATATAAATGAAGACAATTATCTTCATTCAAGTGGTGAAATCAAAAGTAAAGCTGTGAAGGTTATTGTCCAAAGTGGACAATAACATCATTGTCGTTGTCCTTAACATTACTTGCTATCCTATATATTAATTATGTTTATTTTAGATCTAAACCAATATATGAGTTATAAATATAGCATATTGTAATGGGGAATGAGAATAAATTTCGGTGGTATATGGAAATACTTGACTCCTCAATGATGAAAAAGAACTTTGTCCTCCTTGCTGTTAGATATTTGACAAAGAGAAATGCAAAAATAAATATTTTTTAAAACAATAATAAATTGTCAATATCTAATGTTGAGGAGGACCGGGTTCGTCCTTATTAGCTAAATATTTTTCGTTTTATATTCTTATCTAACCTAACATATATATAAAAGACATTTACATTTTATTTTATTGTGGCATATTTTGTTTGTGAAATAAAGATGTTTCGGATGAAATTACTTGCCTTGATTGTTTCTAACTATGGCTGCAGCAGCAATAAGAAAAGTCAGAGAAAGGAAAACAAATGGTCATTTTATTCCACGCAGCAAGAATAGGTCCATGCCATTGCAAACAGTCATCTGAAAGTTCCAAAAAGGTTAGGATGGGAACAAGTACAAATAAAGTCCCAGTTAGTTGAGAAGCGGTGATCTATGGTATATAGTTATAGTGAAAGTAATTAACTCTACTGATATAAGATATTTTTTTTGAAAGCAAAACTATGTACCTTCAAAATGGACAATAGACCATCAGTTCAGTTAGATGTTGACATAGTACCTCATTTATATTGGGTTTGTAAGAAGCGCGTAAACAAAATCTATAATACTTAAAATTGACAATATCATACCATTGTAAAAATATAAAGAGTCAATTATTCGAATGATTCTAACCATCATTTCCAAAATGACGTAGGAATATTTATTATTGCACTTTTTACAAGATCTAAAATTACTGGTCGAAAAAATCACACATAAAAATTTGATGGAGGAGATATTTTCTTATTTTTAATCCAAAATGAAGAAGATAAAATCGGGACACCATTTATTGTAGTTACAAGAACGAAGAAGAGAAAAGTCAAATGTACTAATATCCGTCTATTGAACTATAAATATATCGGCTTATGCGTTTTCAGTTGTATGCACTTTTTTACCGAAGTCGAGTGCTGTTTTGTCTAACGTTCCAAAAGATGTGAACGGTACCGAGCCTCCCCTTTTATTTTATTTGACTTCTCACTTCAAACTTTCAAAAATATATTAGCTCCAAAGCCAATCTCCGGCATATGATGTACACAAAGTCGGCTATCAGGTCATTGAATTAAGACATGTTGCCACACCACTCAACACAACCAAATTTAATTAAATATAATTACAATCTTATTCCCACAATTACCCTTTTTCAATATATCTTGTTTCCCACACCCAGTTTCCATGATTTGTTTTGTCTGATGAACGTGTTCCTTGAAAATTTTTTAAAAAATTAATTAATAACCGGTGTATTTGAAATCCAATCAGAATTTTGAACGGTGACCATTTGTTTATTAAATTAATATTAGATAACACCAAAACTAAATTATATAATAAATGCCATTTCTTGTCTGGAGGAATCTTGTTGTTGTTCTTCTTCTTTTTTTAAAAAAAAAAAAAAAAAATTAAGGAACGCTCTTGCCACTTTCCCATCCTTCAAATGAGGAAGTAAACCCTTTATTTTTAATTTTTATGATGAACTTTTAAACATTTCCTTGCCTTATCAAAATCCTCTCCGGACAGCCTCAATGAAGTTTCTCAATATGGGACAAGACTTGTTTACTGTAGCGATGTCAGCCCTTAGATCATAGATATCAGATATGGTAATTTGTGTTTGTTTAGGTCATCAACTCATAAAATTTTCCCCGGTGATAATGTGGACACATTAATAATTAAAGTAAACAAAACACCTTTAGGAGAAAGAGGGGTGTGACTTGTGAGATTGAAAAAGTATTTCCTTTTCCTTTTCCTTTTTCAACCTTTTGCAGGGTACACAGTTTATCCACGGCCCACACCGACATTTTATGATCACAGTTTGCATAAATTAAAATTTTGTTCAAATGTTCAATATTATGGAATTCCTTTTCCAAAATCAGAAAGCCCCTTCAGACTTCAACATATTCCATATATTTTTATTAATTAGTCGAGTATGTTGATCAACATCTTTCCTTGGTAAATTAATATGTTACTTAATGATTAAAAAAAAAAATAAGAAGGAAAAATAGGTAGCCTAAGGCTAAGCTATTGTATTTAGTTGACGAAAAAGGGCAGGCATGGGCATGGGGAAAGTCAAAAACTGTTATTGTGGAAAATGACAGCAATACCCTTTGTCAAGGTTCTACGAAGCAGAGGTGCAATTGCAGTTCCGTTGAGTTGGGGCAAGGCAAACGGGGGTCATTCTGTCGCTGCGCTGTCACCTGAATCTGAACCCCCATTTCTGGGCATTTTCTTCTAATTTCCTGCCCTTATTTATACTCCATCCCATCCCATGGTGTTCTTAATTCGCAGAACGCAGATTCCCATTATAATTAAGGAAAGATATATAGTAATTGATGGCACGAAAGGGTGGCCATTTCCTTGATTTACTACCTGTAATGGCCGAGAAACTGGGGGGAGAGGGGCTGATAAAGGAGCTGTGCAATGGGTTTCAGTTGCTGATGGACAAAGAGAAGGGGGTGATCACGCTGGAGAGCCTGAGGAGGAACTCTTCGCTGCTGGGTCTGCACAACATGGCAGAGGACGAGCTGGCCAGCATGATGAGGGAGGGCGACCTCGACGCCGACGGTGCCTTGAACCAGATGGAGTTTTGCGTTTTGATGTTCAGATTAAGCCCTCAGTTAATGGAACACTCTCTGTATTTGCTGCAGCACGCTTTAGAAGACGAGTTTAAATTCTAGAAGATGATATCCTTTTTTTTTTTTTTGGAACTGGAAGAAGCTTAGCTTCTGTTCTGCCTATGCCATTAATTATTCCAAGCCTTCGTCGCTGCCCCTTCTATGTCGATATATTAACTCCAAAATTCAGAATAAAGGAATGGCAAAGAGTTCATTTTATTGGTCTCTTCTTCTTTTTTTCAATCTTTGTGTATTCTTCATTTCTTTTATAAAGATAGATCAAAAGAAAATCCAGAACTGCATCATATAATGTTGTGCTGTGCATATGAGGAATTTTAATTTTAATTTATACCATTTCTCATTTTTGCCTGGTAGAAATTTCCGGAGATTGCTTGAATCCAACTCTATTTCGATGCCAACGAGGAAGTGTCGTCGAGTGGCCGCAGTTCAAAGTTGGTTAAAATCAACTTAAAAAGTCAAAATTTGATGGTCTACCCCCTAGAGTTCAAATTTAATGTACTCCCTAATTTAATTTTGGGTAAAATATACTTTATTTTCCTGAAATTTGGGTTAATGTCTGTTTGGTCATGGATTTTCAAAAGTGACACTTTAGTTCTAAGCAACAAAAATGATCTTCCAAGTCACATCATAAAGAAAATTTGTCCATTGGATTCTATTGATAAAAAACAAAAAAAAATTAGGAAATATCTGTTGATGTTATGGGCCATCAAACAGAGATCGAAGGTTTCACACTGAATAAATTGCAGCCGACAAGCACTATTAATTCCAAAGACCAGATTTTGAGAAAACCAAACCCACCAAATTTAAGTACACAACACATTCAAATTCTCTTCCCATATGGCGATAAAGCGATCCATATGAGTCTTAGTAAGTCCCAAACCAACTTCAATCCCGCCTTTCTCATCTCTACATTCCTGCAAAGAAATAGCCAAGGAGCTGTCTACGTGAAGCACTTCACTTTTTTTGGGCTTCCCCCACCCGAAATCCGTATCATAAACCCTTAGCTTAGGCGACCCTGCAATGGTTAATAGGTGTTTCGATTCCAAACATCTCCACTCTGAAAACCACTTGTCCGCCGTTTTCAATGGTTCACTCTCAAATTCCTCCACTCGCTTCCCAATAGCTTTCGCCGCAACAACACTGCTATTACTCTTCAAAAGCTCACTCTTCTTCAACACTACAGCACCCATGTCAAGGCAGTTCCCAAAATAAGTCGGAGGCAACGGATCCTTGAGGCGATTCCTGCAATCTGCCAATAACACAAAGAAGCACAGTTCATCTAATTCATCTGGAAGATCATTCTGCGCAAACTCGCCTTCTGTTGATTTAATCAGACACCCCCAGATTAGAGAGCATGTAACGATGAGCGCAGACAATCGTAAAGGCTTTAATTCTTCATTGTCGTCATGGGCTGCTTGATTTGAAATCCAAGTTTTCAATCTCTCGATTTGGGTTTTGTTAATGACAAACGTTGCCCTGACCTTGTCGGCAGGCGCAAGATCAATTATGGGTTTATCAGGGACTGGGTTCCATAACGAATCCCAATAGGACAATTCCTGTAAAAAGATGGACTCCAATCCATTTGGGTCCTTGACCGCAGCCCTGTCGTGGTACGGCAAAGGTCCGTCAAGCGAACCCGAGCCGCCTCCGTTTCTATGTATGGAAGCTCATGATTTGAGGAAATCGTGAGCGGCCATCCCGTCGGCAACCACGTGATGAAACGCTATAGAAATACACAGACCCTGGTTTGGGAAAACGGTGATTTGGAGTGCGAAAACTGGAACCACACGCGCCCCGTCCGGTGAGGCACGTGAGTTGGGCAAGTCGGGAACTAAGGGGTAAAAGTGTTTGGCGGGGCGAGGGTGATCGGCGATGAGGCGGTCGAAATCGCACCCACTCGACTCTGCTACAGTGAGAGGAACAGAGTCATGGGGTGTGCAGAGGATGTGGGGGCGGTGGGGCGGAGGAGGGAGGATGAAATTTCCGGCGAGAGGGAAAAAGTGTTGGAGAGCGAGAGAGAGAGAGCGTTTGAGAGTGGGAAAGATGGCGTGGATGAAGTGGTGCGTGGAATGGGGGAAGTGGTAGAAGAAGAGGCGTCTCATGGGGCGGCAGACAATCCACAGCATGTCGAGGAAACTCAGGGGGAGATGTGTGGTCGGAACTGAACCTGCGGGTGGAGAAATCCGGCAGTGGTTCAGGACCTTAGCGGTGTAATCAGGACCGTCGGCGGCCATCGCAGATTCCTACAGAAATTGAATCCACTAAATGAACTGGGAGTAGTGAGTTGCCTGAAAGTGAAAACAGAGCATGTGGACAGCAAAAGTGATGAAGCCAACAAACCCATTGCAGCCAATTTGTCTCAACAACTTCATGTTATTGTCCAATCAAGGGTTATCTATTTTTATTGCCTATCCATGTGCCTTAAGAGTCAAAATCACAGGAGAAAATACTCATTTATATGTTCTTGATCACAGTTTATTGTTAGAAAAATATTGTATGTATTTCAAAATTTCAAATATAGTATAATATTTGAATTTTTATTTTCGGAATTTTTATTATTGATTTCAATTTTACCCTTATGACATCTGATAAATATATATATATCTGATATACATTCAATTTATATCTAATATACATAGGATGTATATCATACATCAAATCTATATCGGATATACATCTGATGTAAATTTGTATATGATATACATCCAATCTATATCTAATTTACATCCGATGTAACTCTGATATACTTCCGATATATATTCGATGTACCCCTAATATACAGTATCAGATGTACCTATGATATACATTATCACATATACTACTAATATACATCAAATGTACGTATTATACATATAATATATATATCTGATATACTTCTAATTTATGATATACTAAATATATTTGCCACTAATATACTAAATATATTTGCAACTGATATATTAAATATAAGGTATATTAAATGTTTAATTTTTAGTGGTATATCAGCTGTTTAAATTATAGTTTTACAATTTCAATTTATTGATTAATATACTAATATTATTAATAATGGTGATTACTATATCATCACTATTTATTCAATATTAATATTAATTAGATACTAAATATAAGAGATATCAACGGTTTTAATTTATAAAGTATATCAAAATTTTAACTTGTCTTTTTTGACGTGTATGATCCACGTAAACCTTTTATATAATAACTTTATATTTCAAAAATAAAAAATAAAAAATTTTGCACCATTGTTTTCATCTGAAAAAAAAAGATATAATGATATTATATCAACACACATGTATCATAGTTATATTAGTAGATATAATGGTTATATCAGAGGCATATAAGTGGAAAATTAGAAGCATATTCAGTATATATCAAATATATATCAGTGTTATATTAAAGGTAAATCATATAATCATATAAGAAGTTATATTAGTAGATATCATAGTTATATCAGTGGTATATAAATTCGATACATATCATATATGCATATATATATATATACATATATGTTGTATCAGTGTGGCAAATCAATGGTTTCATACATATATTAGTGGTAAGACATGTTAGAAGTTGAGTAGATATCATGGTTATACCAGAAATAAATCAATTGTATATTATTATTATATAAGTGGTATAAAATCAGAGATATATATATCCGTGATCAGATATATTACAGATATATATAAGATATATTAAAGGATGAATTTGTAATTTTATAATTGGACCTCCGTTTTTTTTTGCCATATCTGAGAGTGAAAAAAGTAACAGTTTTTTTAACTTCAAACTATTATCACAAATTTGTAGAAATATAAAATTTTAACGTTCCATTTCAAGAAATGAGTGGATACTATTTACTACTATTAAACTAAGCCGATGTTTGAATGTAGTTACCATAGCAGGTGGTCTAATCTTTACTCTTATTTATGAGTATATTAGTGTAATATACCCTGAGAAATTAAAAATATTTTTTTAATTAATTCAAACACTTGGATAAAGTGAGTGAGACAAATTATTTGTGGTCTCCACATCTTTGTGGAGTTGATGGAGACTAAGCAGGACTAATCTAAGTTATTCATTCATCAAACAGCTAACAACATAAATTCCAATAATATTGGGCATAAAGAAGAAAAACCAACGATATTTCAAGAAAATCGAGCCACAGAAGTTAACTACAGAAGAGCTTCAAATTTGCATCCCACATGGCGACAAAGCGATCCATGCGAGTCTTAGTAAGTCCCAAACCAACTTCAATCCCACCTTTCCCATCTCTAGATTCCTGCAGACAAACTAACCTAGAAGAGTCAACATTGAGAATCTCACTCTTCTGGGGCTTCCCCCACCCAAAATCTGTATCGTAAACCCTTAATCTCGGCGATCCTGTAATGGCTAAACGGCGTCCCGATTCTTCACATTTCCTCCATGCTGAGAACCACTTGTCAGCCGTTTTCAACGGTTCACTCTCAAACTCCTTCACTCGCTCGCCAATAGCTCTCGCAACTCCAACAATACTGTGACGTTTCAGAATTTCATTCTTCTTCAATTCTACTACACAAATGTCGATGCAGTTCCCAAAATAAGTGAAAGGTATTGGATCCTTGAGGCGGTTCCGGCAATCTGCTGCGAATACAAGGTAGCAAGGCTCATCAGATTTATCAGCTTCAAAATTACAAATGGCATTACCATTCCCTAATTCGCTCTCTGTTGATTGGATCATGCAAACCCAAATGAGAGAGCATGTAACAACGAATGCTGACAATCGCAACGGCCCCAACTCTTCGTCATTTACTGCTCGAGCTGAAACCCAAGTTTTCAATCTCTCGATTTGGGCTTTGGTGAGGACAAACGTCGCCCTATCCTTGTCAGTGGGCGCAAGATCTTTTATGGGCTTATCAGGTACTGGGTTCCAAGAAGAAGCCCAGCCCGACAACTCTTGTAAAAAGATAGACTCTAAATCTAAGTCATTTGGGTCCTTGACCGCTGCCCTGTCGTGGTTGGGCGGCGGTCCGTGAAGCGAGCCGGAGCCACCTGCGAC